ATGAGTTGAAAGGAAGCAGGGAAGCACTATGACATTTAGTAGCTATGTAACCAGGATATCATGATGGACAGATATTATAGGAAGGGAAAAATAAGATATTGTGAATATTGGTGATGATATGGTGAAATGAGGGTTGGGTGAGTTGATAAAAAGGAAGGCGTCAAATATTGCAAGTATAGGTGGGTGTGTAGTGGAAAGATTATGACAGAGCAAACTGATGGGAAAGTTCTTAGCAGATTGGTAGATGGTATACTTTGCCATGAATGGTCAATAAAAGTAGTTTACTTTCATCATGTAGGTGCAATTGTCTGGTTAATAGAGAAGCTACAGTATATTATTGAAAGACATTCTTGATTTTTCTAGCTGCCTTATGAATATTTTGGAGTGATTGGGATTATTCTAGTGAAGTCAGTTTTGTGTGACAATGATGTATACCTAACAGCAAAATTAAATTGCAAAGCAGTGCCTGTAAACTGTTGAATTTATTGGTGTCATAAGAAAAATATTTTAATATACTTTTTCATCAATATAGCTTCATTAATATAATATGGCTGCAGCCAAAACACAAGCATTCAGTACTAATTATATGAAGTACAGTTTCACTGCCATGGAAACAAAATATGACTGACAATTTTCAGTGTATAATATACTACTCATTTTTGGTATTAATGCAGGAGATCTAGGTTTTTTTTTTGAACAACATTCTAATCACAATACTTTGAAAGACAAACCAAAGAAATTTTTGTTGTTCAACTTGCTAAAGGTAGAAATACCTGGATTTGCATTTTATTAAAAATAATAATAAAGTATTGGCTGAAGTGGGACAAGTAGGTATCTTAGGAAGTATCATTTCTAATTATTAAGCAAGAAAATGATAATACAAGAGAATCTTCATCTTGCTTGCTGAAAACAACTAAAATTGAGCATGAATCTGAGAACAAAAAATGTATCAGATTTTTCACTTTTCAGTACGTCTATAAAATCTTGTATTTAGCACCTGGTCAGATATATTCTTCTTCTTTTTTCACACTTCAAAAATATGTACCACAATTTTGTCTGTTGCCTGCCTACATTTTATTCACTGACAATGGAGGTGTGAAAGAACTGCTTTTTCAAAGGAATTGAGAACCTCAGAAGCTTCTGATGTTATGAAAATGGTTCCCCCGCTTTTCCTCTTGTTTTATTAAATGAATTTTTATTGGAAAACTGATTAGTTTATTTATTACTTTAATTTGTAAAGCCATCTGGCTCAAATACATGACTTATGTATGGACAAACAGTGTTTCAGTGATACATGGCTCTTGAATTTGTTACTTGGTGAAATAAAAACTATAATCATAAATCAGTGCATCATGCAGAGAAGCACTGGTTGCTAAAATTCTTCTATATAATGTGCATGATACATTTAATTTTTATCTCTTCGCAAAACTTACAAATTTGATGGTAAAATACTTAGATATTGCTGAGTAAAGACTTCTGTTTTCACATAAAAGTATTACTTTTAAAAATCTTTTGAAAGTACTGAAGCTAAAAGATGGATATTATTTTTCAAAGAATAAAAGAAAGGATAACATGTTTCACATTCATTGGAATATTTGGGATACATTTTGTAATTTTTGAAGGACTTCAGTTTAAAGCTAGAAGAAACAAAAATACTGCAAATGTAATGTGCCACACAAAATCCAGTCCTGGAAATGTTGAATGCCAGCTGAGATTCCTAATTTCATTAAATTTCTAAAAATGACAATAAAATGTTTTCATTACTTAATTCATTAATTAATGTTACCATGAACATTATAAAGGGGATGTGGAGAATAAATATGTGGTACACTGGGACTTATTGGCAAATGAATTAAATTATTTTTTCCAGATGTCTGATAAATCCATCCATAAATACAGGTACTATAGTCCTCAATTTATGACCCCAATTGGAACTAGATGTTTTCAAGTAATAATTTTCAAATATAAGTAGTATGTTACATTCTTTTTGTCAATTCCAGCTAAAATGCTCTAATTCTAATAATCAATAATCTATACCCATCCTCCCACATCTAATCCTTTTTTTATAGGACCAAATACCACAATTCAGTCTCTTAGGAGCTTATTTTCCAGTGTGATGCTATCGATTTACTAGTGAGAATCAAAATTAGCATTCTGATAAGAAAAAGCCAACTTGATTTCTTCTGTTGTGAAGGACAGGGGGAGGGGGGAGGATCTGCTAAGAATTTGTCTCATCCTTTCTGACCATGTTCAAGGCTAAACTGCAGATTCTTTTCTGTTTGGAGAATTAAAGAGTGGTGCACTTTGGCCTCAGCTGAGAAGCCAAAGATAACCAATTGTTATTGAAGAAAAAAGTATCAAGACTATTTCAAACTGGGTGAGATGTGCTACTTTGTTTTTAAGCTTGGGGACATGCTCTACATTTAATTTAGGAGAGCTGCTGAGTACAGTAACTGTGCCTGCAGAAGATATATAAATCAGAGACATATAACCTAGATAGTAATCCAGTAGTGTAGTGCTTTCTGTTGGACCTGGCAACACACATTAATGTTAACTGAACAAGGGAAAATACAATGCCTTCTTTCTTGAGCTGTGCCTGGTATCCCATTAACTATTGTGCAGTAAGTACTTCTGAGGCTTCATAGTATACCCTCCTTTCTGACTGACCAGCTGTATTCATGGTTTAGACCCTGCAGTCAGTGCTTCAGAGTTATGTTTTATGGCTACCAGCATGTTTTCTAATGAAGTGCCTACTATCTCATTTCGCTGGGGTGGGGTGGGGTGTACAGCTATGTCTCATTCAATGAATGACGTGATTAATGCGTGGCCCGACATAACCGTGAACGTCAAAAGCGCGCCGACAACACCGCGGCGCTAAAACCGCGATGTCAAAAGCGCGCCCACAACAGCGCGCCGACAACACTGCGCCGACAGAAGCCCGATTTAACTTAAGGTAAGGGTTAGGGTTAGGGTTAGGTTTAGGGTAGGGTTAGGGTAGGTTTAGTGTTAGGTTTAGTGTTAGGTTTAGGGTTATTTTTAGGGTTATGTTACAGTGCGCTTCTGTCGGCGCGCTGTTGTTGCGCGGTTTTGATGGTGCGGTTTTGTCACCACGCTTTCGTCTACCGCGGTTCTGTGGTGGAACCGATTAATGACCATTCAAAGTTACAACTTCAGAAGCATCCCACAGTCACGTGGTCACTACCTGCATGCTTCACAACCAGATTTTGACAAGCAGAATCAATGGAGAAGCCTGCAGTAAAACCTTAAGTCCAGTGAGGTGGGGTTTTTTTTTGCAGGTGGCATGGCAGCCCAAATGGCAGGGAATAAGCAGTTGGGGAAGTTGAAGGGGAGGTAGCTCTTTGGAAGAATTGAGGTTTGGGGCTGTCTGGCACCTAATTGGGAATGGTTTAGGGAGTCTATCTGAAAGTAGCCCTCATTGGGTTTCAGCCTAAAAGGCAGCAATCCCATCTGAACTCCATAGGACTCCCAAATTTGTCCTTATCTTAAGATGCATTTCACCAGAGCGACCTACTGCACCGATCAGGTATAGGGAGACCAAGGTTCAAGTCCATCTTCAGCACAGAAATTCACTTTTTCTTGGCTCAGGCCACCTCACATGGCTGTTGTGGAAAAAAATAGATGGGAATCTACTACCTTAAATATCAGAATAAAAAGCAGACCTTAAATCAAATTAATAAACGTTCTAGCTGGCTGAACATTTATTCACACATTGTATGTGTGAGCAGCATGTATTGTCTTCCTTCTGTTTAGGTCTCTATTTCCAATGTCTACGGAGATTCTCAGTCACCCAGGTTCATGGTTGTCCCAAAGGCTTTCTTGTTTTTCTTTGAAGACCTTTCGCTTCTCATCCAAGAAGCTTCTTCAGCTCCACAACCATCCAGTCAGAGCTGAAGACCAAACGCCTTCAAAGGAAAAAACAAGAAAGTCCAGTTGCCTCTGAGGGGGGGAAAAAAACAAGCACCCTTTGGACCCTTTTTCCAACTATAGACAGCAATGCAAGATTGCAGCCACTCAACCCAAATCAAGGCGTGGGTATTCATAAAAGTTTCCCTGAAAATTATTTCCACACACGCGGAAGATAAATATACGGATGGCGGCAACCTGATTTATTCTGAAGTCGCAAAGCGGCGAAAGCGATCGTTTTCTCCTCAGCAGAGATATTTAGCGCTACGTTCAGATTTATTTCCCCCGCGACACACACATTACTTCAGAACAGAGCCCTTCCCAGTCCACTGGGTACTCATTCGCGAGTAAGCCTAAATAGTAAACCGGCTACTTTATTTTCAGACGCGCCTAACAAAAGTAGCCGCGGCGTGAGGTACCGAACCGATAGGTAGGCGGCGACTATTTCTAGTCAGAGCAAAACCGGGGTCTGTTCGTCGGGTGCAGAATGTGCGGAGGAGCCGGAGAGGTTTCCCTTGTAAGCGATGGCACCTGCTTCCCACCTCATTCGGGGAAGGGACCAAAATGCAACCAGAATTATTCAGTTCCCGCCGGGCAGTTTAGGCAAACGCCTCAGAAACTTCCCTGAGGACATCCCCACCCTCCCTCCCTTCAGCAGCCCGGGCCGAGGCGCGCCGGAGGGTTTTTTGCGGGCGTCGGGCACGGAGGTAAGGACTCCGGCTCTGGAGGAGGAGGAGGCGCTTCGGAGGGCCGTCATTTCCGTCGTGTGTGAACTGGGGAGGGAGCGAGGGGAGGGACGGCGGCAAGCGGACAAACCAGTCAAGTGCTCTCGCTGCCGCCTCCTCGCTCCTCAGGCCGCCGGTCAGACCGCCCCCCCTCACCCCAAAGACTCGGAGCGCGGAGTGGAGGAAGAGGAAGGCGATAGCGGGGAAAGCCAAGTTGCGGAGGGGAGGGGAGGGAAGGATAGGGGAGGGAAGGGGCCGGCGAAGCGCCGCTCGACACGCAACTCGGGATTCCCGCCCTTCCCTTTGGACGGACGGCGCAGCCCGACCTCTCTTGCTCGCCCCGGTCCGGCCATGGGGAACGCCGCCACCGCCAAGAAGGGCAACGAGATTGAGAGCGGTGAGTTGAGGCCGGAGGGGGGACGCGAAGGCGAGCTTCTTTCTCCGTGGAAAGCAGGCAGGCAGCTTGCTCTCTTCTCTCCTCTTCTGCCAACCCTCCGCCGCTTCACCAAGGTGCGCCGGGACGACCAACGGCAGGCCCTGCGGCCTAGCCTGACGGGTTGCGGCAGTGGCAGCCCCCTCTCCTTTGCCCCGGGCAGCAGGCCTGGAGTTGGAGACTGTGCTTCGGCGAGCGGCTACTCGGTCTTCTCTTCTTGGCCTGCGGGGCCTGCTTTGCGTTAGGTTCCGGGGGGCTCGTAGGTGAGCGGATTAACCCGTGTCTGATAGGGCCACTGGCGGAGAGGGCACGAAGGCAGCCCCGAGTCCCCACCCCCACCCCGTGAAGCGGGCTGCGCTCCCAGGCTCGCTGTAATCAAGGTGCTCCGGCGGAGGAAGACTGGATTAGAGCCGGTGGGGTTTTTTTCTCTCATTCCCCTTCGCTATTTTCCCCTTTTCTGTTTCCCCCCGAAAATCTATACATAAAAAGCTTTATGTCATACAAACCTGCCTGGTGAAGAAAACAGCGTAACATAACAATGTAAACTGTGCATTGATTTGTCGGGTCCCCTGTGTTTCCTCTCAGGTAACAGCCCCAGAGATCTCCCTATCCTTTTCCCATGATAAAATCCTTTGCTACGGAAAAAGGATTAGTCCCAACATCTGCAATGTAAAGAAAGCTTCAAACACGTTGGTCGTGTAGAAAGGTTTAAAGTTTTGTTATGTTGGGGGGGGGGGTATTAATTGATTTCTACTTCACGGCAAAGTTCTAGTAATAAAACTTGGATCATCCGAAGTGTTAATAACCAAAGGAATGGCAGATGTCCCAAGATTCTTTATTAATATTAGATAACTATTTGGATTAGTCTTTAGCCCATCAGAAGGAAGCAAACAATATTTTTGTCTTATGCTGTACTAATAATAACCATATTGATTGCTTTTATTTATATACTGTTTTTGTTTTGTTTATTTATTTGTATCCCCACCATTATTATTTTTATAAATAATTCAGATGGAGAACATATCCATCACATCTTGGTCCTCCTATTTTCCCCACAACAATAACTCTGTGATGTGAGTTTTGCTGAGAGAGAGTGACTGGCCCAAGGTCACCCAGCTGGCTTTCATGGCTAAGGTGGGACAAGAACTCAATGCTTTCATGTTTTTAGCTTGGTGTCTTTTAACTACTAGGCCAGACTGGCTCTTTCATTTTAACTTACCTAGAGTCATTTTCAAATAGCAGTTTATTTTGATTAGATACATAGTTTGGCAAATAATGTCAGACAGTTTGTTTTATAAACTTAACAACTTAATAAGGTTTTAATTGGAGGAAGCTATGAGTCTTTCAAACAAAATTAAATCTCTGGCTGAATAATAAAATATTATGCCACTGTTGGCTTTCTTGTTATTTCAAAAATGAAGAATGAGTGAAATATATTTAACACCATAATCCACTTTATATTTATAAAATAAAGTCTACTGAATTCAATTAAATTTGCTCACAAATAAGTTTATATAATATCACAGCCTTAGTCCTACTTAGAGGAACATCTCAAGATTCGGGTACCAGTGGTTAAGAACATTGTATTATAATGAATACATAAACAAGTGATCTTTAAATAATAATATGGATAATAGTTTTCTTGACTTGTGAATGCCTGGTGTGATGAATCAGGTGAGCCTGACATTTGAAAAATAAACCCCACTCATTTTGGATTTTATACCTGAAGAAAGGATTTCCCTTGCAACTGTTGTTGAAACTTTCCTTTCCTGCCATGGTACTTCTTGTGAGTGGTACATTAATGATGTCCCAAATGAGCAGTGGGTGCAGAGGGCTATTTATGTAGACAACGTCTTAATCTTGTTTCCAATGCTTTACTTTTTCCAGCTTTGTTTTGCTTCTGCTGAATGTAAGCTGTACATTGAAGGGCTTAAAAGAGACAGATTGTTGGTTCTTACACTGAGATCCTCTTTCAATCTTTTACTTCTCAAATGTGTTGTTTTACAGTTCTGTTATCCCTAGTTAGCATTCCAAGAGTTTGAGGTCTGCTTCTGTAAGACGAAACCTGACTTCTAAAGAAAAACCTCCCACAGCACAGTATGCTTTAGGTACAGAATAGCAAGTTTTGGGCATTCATTTCTACCCAAAGAGGGATTCTTGTTTTCTTCACTCTGGAATCCATGTATTTAGTGTACAATTTAGTGATTCCTTGAAGCATTTTGAACAAATTCTATAATCTTGTCTGAGCACTTTTCATTTCTATAAACTGAAACTCTAGTTACCAATTTACAGTGCAAAAGTTGGGTTTCCAGGATTTTGAAGTCTGTAAATCGGTCATCTCTTTACAGTGTATGCATATAATTAAAAATAGTCAAGTATTTGGCTGTGTCCTAGATTTGCTGTTATATGGCAGCATTGATTATGGTGTTCAATAGCTATATGCACTTATAAGCAATTTTGGCCAATCCCTTAGAGCTAATAATGGCTTTGCCTTTGGTGTATTGTTTTCTGATCCTGTTGGAACTTTAAATGCAAAATAAGGCAGTGCATTGTTTGAGAAGAAAATTTTAGTGAAGAACTTTTTTAGGATTATATAATAAAAATTGTGGAATAGTAATATATCTTCTTGTGATTTATTTTTTGATAGAGGGTGGTTAGATTGATCTAATAAAGCTTTGGCTCAGGATCTGTGATTTCTATAATACAGCATTGTGCACCTATTTTTTTAAAACCTAAATATTTACTAAAGAAGTAGTCCACAATAAGAAATTCTGTCTTAACAAACTTGAAGTGTTGGATGATGACATGATGGTGGGAATAGAGAATGAGTGCAATAAGGCAACTTCTCTTTTGAATCAAGCTTAGCTTCATGGATGTGCACAATGCTCATTGGTTTAATTAACTGTGAAGCCAACTGTAGCATAGGAATAATCTGTCAAGGACCAGTCTTGGATGTTTTTTAAAGAAACATGAAAGCGTAGTATCTGCAGGCTGATAATGTTTTGTGCATGCTAATAACATAAAATGATAGTGACTGTAACTAAATATGCTGTATGAAAATGAGATTTTAAAAACTCTAAGCTGGCAAGAAACCATTTGTAAAAGATTCAATCAGTTGACTAAAACAGTGCAACCTCTGTTGGTTGAAAAAGTGAATTTGTGTAATTTATCATTTATATTTACAATTTATAGATAGAATATATTTGTAAATATTAACAAATGTAGAATGTATTAATCAAATAAAATAACATTGTATAAACTTTACTGATCTAGTAACTTTTGGAAAGGCAGAACTCTAAAAGCTAAAATACATTTAGAACTAAGAAACAATGTATACTTTCAAGGAAGTAAAAAAATGGGATTCCCTTTAAGATTTTGGTACTCAGAGCATTAAATAAAACATTGAAATATTGATGGTTTCATGATTTAATGAATTATGGTTCATGAAAATCAACAAGTCGCCATTTAATATTATAAATTTTAAAAATGCATTCCTGTGCTGTCCAATTCATAATCAGAATTATATTTGTCATTATTGAAGTTTTATCAGTGAAACTATGAACTGCACAAGATTGAAAAAAATCTAAGAATGAATGTTGTGGAGGTAGTCAAATAGTCCTTGACTTACACCACAATTGATTCCAAAATTTCTGTTTATGTTAAGTAAAACATTTGTTAAGTGAGTTTATCCCCATTTTACAGCCTTTCTTGTGACATTTGTTAAGTGAATCACTACAGTTGTTAAGTTAGTAAGCTGGTTGTTAACTGAATCTGGTTTCCCTGTTGACTATGCTTGTCAGAAGGTTACAAAAGGTGATCACATGACCTTGGGACATAGCATCAGTCATAAGTATGAACCAGTTGCCAAGTATCTGAATTTTGATCACATGATCACGGGATTGCTGGAAAGGTTGTAACCCATGATGGCGAACCTATGGCATGCATGCCAGAGATGACACACAGAGCCCTCTCTGTGGGCACGTGTACCGTCGCCAGCTGCTCTACCAGAACTCCCAAAACCCAAAGTCTAGCTGGCTGGTGTGCATGTGCACAGTGTCGGCCACCTAGTTTTTGGGTTTCTAGCACATGTATGCATGCCGACCAGCTGATCTGTGTGTGGCAGAAACCCAAAGATGAGGTGGCCGGCACACACATGCCAGCTGGTCTTCAGGTTTCTGGTGCTCCAGTGTTTTCTAAGCCATAGTTTAGACTCACTGTATTATGCAAACTCAAGGGTGTTTGATTCAGAAATCAGAAATAAAAGGTTATGTATATAGTGGGGCAGGTAAACCAAGTTGTTTTACCACACTTAAACCTTGGGTTGGAAAACAAATCCTTGTTCCTGGCAACAGGTATTTTGTTGTTTGTTTCCTTTACGCTGAAATATTTTGAACTACATGTAAATATCTAAAGCTTAAGGAATAAAAACAATTTACATCTGAACCTTTTGCAGGATATTGCTTCAGATTATCGTTATCATCACAAAATTCTGCTACTTATTGTAATATGTATACATACAGAAGCAGAAATGCCAATGTTGCAAAGGCAATTAAACTGCATAAGCAAGTTATAAGGATAATTTTCACGAGCCAAAGTTCTTCACAATATTGTTCATATGTTACTTTGGCTTTTTGCAAATGTTGGGTGTTTATTTTATGTTTACAGTTTTTGCGCTACCATTTTGACAAGGTGTGAATTTCAATGTAAAAATTTAAACAGAACATAATGTAAGTGTTTAATTGGTTCTATCAAATTGAATGAGACTTTCTTGCAACTGGCAACATACAGATAAACCTCAATTTACAACAGTTCATTTAGTGACCAAAGTTGCAACAACACTGAAAAATGGAATTTACAACTGTTTTTCAAGTTAGCATCTTTGCAGCATCCCCATGATAATGTGATCAAATTTCAGATGCTTGGCAACTGGTTCATATTTATGACCGTTGCTTGTGCCCTAGGGT